ACTACAACGCCTAAAAGACACGGAGGAAAGGAAAACACCGCACATCAGCCCAGACTAGCGTCTAAAGGGGGTAATTGAGTTTCGGTGAGCCCGCATATGTTCCAATATCCTCGCCGCACGTGCGGGTTCCCATTGCATGGCCTCCAACATGCTCTGTTGATGACCGAATCCCTCTTCAGCACGAATATCATTACAGGCTTGGCATTCTATTAACAGGCGTTCACATCCTCAATTCGGCTATTAGTACCACAACAGTGGCAAAACCGCTGCCCCCTGGGGACGTGGTACTTGCCCCTTCATGCTCTGTTTGCCTCCAAAGCCCAGCAACATAAACGAAACTGCATTACCTTACTATATGCTAAACGAGGAATGAAAACCTTAGCATGTGTTGGCCACATGACGGCTGCGGCTCCCGAAAAGGGCAGCCCCATCCAGTGCTTATACTTCGCCACTGTGATCCATCTTCGTATTTGCTGAGCGCATCTGCCTGCTGCTGCTGTTCCCGGCTGCGTGGGTACCACACCACTGAAATGTCTGTGTCCGTATCCGCGCAGAGGCGATGGATCTCCGCCACTATGGGCAGGCAAGCGGCGTTGCCTTTCATCCCAACCATGCAGAATTCCGCCGGTTGGCTGTCCGTCTGGTATTGCACTGTCCGGCCGTACAACAGGTTCGGTGCCTGCTCTCGCAACCAGTGCAAGCTGTACAGCAGCGCCCGCAGTTCTCTTTCTGTGCTGCTAAAGTCATTCCACTGCAGCCGCTGGGTTTCCTGAGCTTTGAAGGGCACAAGCATGCGGCTGTTGGCGCCCAGTTCTTCTCCAGGTAAGAAGGCTGCGAAGGCCCTGTCTGAGGCGTCCCCGACTAGTTCCGTCGTCAGTCATAGGGCTGGTCCTTTCCGCCAGGTGGCTGTCCCGTTGCGCCTGCCCAGCAGCTCCATAAACAAGCCTGCCTGGTGTAGCACCTCCGCCGGGTCCCAAACCTCTTCGTCCCACGCCACGCCCCGGGCTACACGCCACACCATCCACGCTGACGGCGGGCGTCATGGCGATGATTTTGCCGGCCACCTGCGCCACCTGCCGCGCTGTTAGCCGTTTGCCTTCGAGCTGTGTGAGCAGCGTACGGAATCTAGCTAGCTTGTCGTCTGGTACTCTGAATGCTTGCGCCTCCGCATCCACCTCCATCCCCAAGAAACAGACTCGCCTTCTTGGGATCAGCTGGCACTTGGACAGGCTGAGGGTGAAGCCTAGGGCTGCCAGCAGCCGTACCACCGCCCCACACTCGTACTGTGCCGCGGCCTTCGACCCCGCGGCACCCATCTGGTCGTCTATCAGGAAAGACATGCGGACCCCTAGCTGCCGTAAAGGCTGGAAAACCTCGAGCTTCATGCTTGTGTACAAGTGGCAGGCCGGCGCCAGGCCGAACGGCAGGTGTGGCCAAAAAAGCGTCTGCCCCCGCCACCACATAGCCAGATATGTGTGCTCCCGTTCGTGGAGTGATAGCTGCCAGTACCCGCTCTTGTGGTCCGTGGTGTACAGCCAATCTTCCGGTAAGAGGTAGCTAGGGACATCTGCCAGTCGTTCATACTTCACAGGCCGGTACCTCAAGAAACAGTTAATGTACATCGGGTTAATACAGAGGCGCAGCTTTCCGTCTTTTTCCACTACCCGCAAGCCATTGATAACCGTGGGGGGGGGCGCGTCTGCTGGCCATTTCTGTATCACCCCTCGGTCTAGGCCTTTCTCAATTCGGCTGTAACAAACTCACTGTGCTGAGTCGCGCTGCGATGGTTAGGAAACTGCACGGCTCGCGGCCGGTCACCCGCCATGATAAAGTCTAGGTCGCAATCCGGCGCCGCGACCCGCAGCATTTCCCGCACTATAGCTAGCTTGCATCCCCGCTCCGGGGCTAGTTCTTGCCCTGGGTAGTCGCACGGCACCCACTCCAGCTGAATTCCGCCCTGCAGGTATCCCAGCCACCGTTTCTGTTTGTCCGTGAGGGGCCGGCCTTCGTTAGCTGCCTGAAAGAACACTCGCCACACTGCAACATGTAGACGTATCCTTCCTGGTTGGAAGTCTTCAGGATCTGGGAGCAAACAGACGACCTCTTCGAGAAACTCCTGTTCATCCCGCGGATCTACCGCGTCCTGTTGCCCCAGCCGCTGCAACCTCTGCCAGGCTTCCTGTAGCAGCTGGAGTGCCTCCCTGCCCCCAGTGTTGCGGGCACTCGCTTCCCAGGCTGGTGCTAGTCCTACGCCACTGGATTTCCGCCCTGTCGGCTGGTGACTCACCAACTGGTCTGGTCGTCTTCGCAAGGGTCATCTTCCAACGACAACAACTCGGTCGGATCCCTTCCGTCGCCATCCTGAGTGTCTGCCGGGTAACCCACGTCAGGTTTCCTGTCATCGTCCCTTGCCGTTCCCTGTGTGCTCTTAGTCGACCTGGTTAGCATAGGCCTCTGGGCTTGGGTCTCCTATAAACCGAATAATAACCGGTGGGGCGGGAAACAGGATAAGAGGGTCTTGGAGCTTACACTTAGGTGTCCAAAAGGCAGAGCTGCCCTCTTCCATACCAAGCTCCGCACCCTGCTGTCCCCAGCCCCTGAAATGGCAGTCATGAGCCGCCCGTCCAACACCTGGACCGCGGCAGGCTTTTATTCCAGCCGTTCCCACCGACAGAACCGGCCCACCAGCAGCTACGAGACCAGAACAGTCGTGTCGGCAGCTGCACGTGGTGCCTATTCGAGGCACACACGGAGGCCAATGTCGGGCGCGGGGCCACCGTGCGCTTCCGTGGCTACACCCAAGCAGTCAGCCAGCACTTCGTAAAGCGGAATGCAGGCAAGAGCCTGAAGGTCGGCGCCCGGGCTCTCAAGAAGACCCATCGGCATTTCGTCAGCGCGGGCAGTGTCATGCAGGCGATGTACAGGATGCTCCACCTTGGGACTCCACACAAGATCACGCAGAAGCAGTTCGATGAGGCGGCGCTCCAGACTGGGTGCAAGGGCCTGACTGCCTTTGCGGCCCTGCCGTACGTCGACCTGTCGTGCCTCTTCACCGTCTCCACCGGCCATGCCCTGCTGTTCGGAGTGGTCAGCGACTTTGTGGACTAGACGCTGAGGTTGCTCAAAGACATCAAGCCAGCAGACCCAGATGCCAAGCTGGTCATGTCTCGTGAAGCACGCCAGCGGGTCGCGGCCCGCGGCCAGTTCCTGGTCGTGACTTCGGACTTCGGGCGGCGGTACAAATGCATCATGCAGTACCGGTGAGCATGGCCAGCACTGGGCAGCCGGCCACACACGGGGGTCGCTAATAGCCGAGAAAGCAAATACGACCAGGGGCTTGCCTGAAAAAAAACACCTTCATCTGTCAGAGAGTTTGCTACTCTACCTATGTAATGTACTTCTTCTAGTTACACGGTTGCTCGCCACACTGCCCCCCTCCACCCATGCAGCAAGAGCTACCGCATGGAGGACTGGCTGCACTTCGTTGAGACGTTCTCCAGGTACATCTTCAAGGGGGACGTGCTGCCCGAGGCCTTGCGGGCCCTGTGTTGGAGCCTGTGCAGCACGGTCACGCACTACTTCTGGCCGCGGCCCCCCGACGAGACCCGTGAGCAGTTCCTGGTGGCAGCCAAGGCGGCTGCATGCAAGCTCAGAGCTTACACGACCAGGCTGGAGGAGTTGGAGGTGCCGGGCTACATGTTCACGGTCAACCTGCATATCTGTGTATGCCGGCTGTACGACCAGGAGTGCCAGCTTGGGTCCGCGGCAGGGTTCTCCGACCTGCCGGTGGAACGCATGATGCAGCAAATGAAGACGCAAGGCGGAAGGATGGTGTCACAGGCACCCGAGAAGCACTATGCGCAGTGGCTGTGCCTGATGTGGGCCTCCGAGTCGCTCACCGAGGCAGACCCCGCGACCGGGGCCAAACACACGACCAACCAGCAGCTTGAGAGGATGTTGGCACGGCGCGCAGTGAACACCGAGGCTGCCTGGTTTGATAAACCAGGAGCCAACGGTTACCTGCTTGGACGAGGCCACATGGTCTACCCGAGTCCAGAACGAGTGGCACAAGTCCGGGCAGCCATGGCGAGCCTAGTGCACTGGTATGCCCTGGCATTCGAGGATGTGGCTTCCTGGACATTGGGTCCCAGTGCGAGCTACGAACTGGACACGGACCGCCTGGATAGGGTTCTCATGTCTACACCACCCGACTGTCCCAAGGCCCGCTCCTTTTTGCGTGCAGAGGCACTCGACGAGGAGCAGTACTTCAGGGCTGAGTATGGGCGCCAGCAGCAGCGGACCTCCTGCTGGGCATGCTACCAGGCAGAAGTCGGCAACGAGACTCGGACGTATGCGGCCTACCTCAAGTACTTCGTCCACCTGCCCGCAGAAGATGGCGCTCAGGATGTCCGCTTCACTGTCGCAGATGTGTACTCGGGACAGGTGTTCAGCGGGGGGCTGGTGGTGGTCAACATGGCGGCCGCCCAGACAGTGAGGGCAGGCAGCCAGTGGGAGATGTGGCAGGACCTAGGGCTGCCGCTAAGTGAGCTGAAGGGCAAGTTCTGCACAGCCGCCCGGAGGGGGACCGAAAGGGGCTGATGTACTTCATGCCATACACACACTTCACCAACCGCTGAGCAACTGCAGCAATGAGGCCGATGGATGCACCCTTGTCTGGTTGACAACGAATG